AATACTTTCGGACTCACAGTCAGCAATAAATTCTATTGGATACAGAGAGCCACCCAAAACAGCTGAGATAAAGGAATTTAGAAAACTCTATGAGCTGCAGAGAGAGAAAAACAAAACAGTGGTCCTACAATGGATTACTGTTCACTGTGGCATTAAAGGCAATGAGAGCCTCTCTCTACCCATGAATCCATTATCAGACATTGATATAATGGATTCCTGGTCACTATGGCATTAAAGGCAATGAGATTTCTGACACACTTGCTAAGAAGGGGACACCGATTTTGCAATGCATGGACCGCCTGGTAAGTGGCAATGAGAGCCTCTCTCTACCCATGAATCCATTATCAGACATTGATATAATGGATTCCTGGTCACTATGGCATTAAAGGCAATGAGATTTCTGACACACTTGCTAAGAAGGGGACACCGATTTTGCAATGCATGGACCGCCTGGTAAAAAGGGGACAACGATTTTGCAATGCATGGACCGGCCGATGTCTTTCTAAACAATGAAACTTAATCAGAAAAGAATTCCCGACCTCAATAATGAAGGCCTTAATCAGGAGAGAATTCCAGACCAGTGCAACGAAATTAAAGCTCGAATTCCAGACCTCAAGGTTCAACGAACTCAAAGCTCGAACAACAGAGAAACAGTGGACAGTGGCACTCTCCGACATAGCCGACTAGCCAAGAATCAGAAACAGTGGACAGTGGCACTCTTCGATATAGCTAGGAGAAATAGTGGACAGTGGCACTCTCCGACATACCCGGCGGCGAGAATCGAAGCCGTTGCTGAGTTTAGACTACGTATCGGACAGTCCACACAATGAAGGCCTTAATCAGGAGAGAATTCATGTAACAAAAGAGAAACAGTGGACAGTGGCACTCTCCGACATAGCCGACTAGCCAAGAATCGAAACAGTGGACAGTGGCACTCTCCCGATCAGAAGAGAATTCAAGATCTCAAGGTGCAACGAACTTAAACAGTGGCACTCTCCGAATAGAGGAGAAATAGTGGACAGTGGCACTCTCCGACATACCCGGCTTTCCAGACCTCAAGGTTCAACGAACTCAAAGCTCGAACAACAGAGAAACAGTGGACAGTGGCACTCTCCGACATAGCCGACTACGAGAATCGAAGCCGTTGCTGAGTTTAGACTACGTATCGGACAGAGCCGAGTTTAGACTACGTACCGGACACGATTGCTTGGTAAAACATCTTTACAGATTGGGAGTACACACTCAACCCACATGCCCCTTATGTAACCTACAGGAGGGAATGGAGAAGACCCACCTGATTCGGTGTCCAGCCCTAAAGACAACGATGGAAAGCCAAAGATAATGGGAAGCAAGAAGATAGCTAATGAACTGCTATATATGTACCCCCACCCTTGGGGGAAGCTGAAGTCAAAGATTAAGGGCTAATGATAAATATCACAAAGCCTGAAATTTGAAATAATAATAAAAATAGATATCAGTTTTGATTTAATCTCCCTCCCCTCTCCATCTTTTTACAATTAATGGAAATCATATTGACTCTTAGGTCATCAGTAAGTTTTTTTATCACGAGTCGGTAGTGAATAAGAGGGAGAAAAGCGAATAAAAGACGGAAATTGCTTTAGTAAAATCGCGACGCATTTGTTCTCTCTTAGATGGCGAACGACTCAACTCATCTTGATAGTTTCATCTTCGTAGTTGGTGTCCGATGAGTCGTTGTTCTTTGCTGGCAGATTTTGACCTCCACATGTCTTTGTGGTTTTCGTAAACAGCAGACAGAAAAACAGTAAAGAGAGATAGAAGACCGCTTTCTTTGCAACCATTTTAAAAACTTGTGTAAATATATGCGTATTTAAATGAGCCCACCAAAAATTAAGTCCATTGGGATAAGCTCTTGCCTTAGTAGCAGAAATATGTTCGTCTAAAGCAGATAGGAAGATGTAAGGTCTTGTAAAATTTCCTTCAGCAAGGTTAATCCAAAAGATCTATTTTGTGTATCTAACACTTTATTAGAGTGTTTCCATTTACAATCAAAATTGAAGTGATCATTGATTTATTTATAGGAAATGACAATGGTTACAATAAGCCCTTTATTTAACTTCGGGATTCGCAGAGGGAAGGAACATCAAAGTCACATAGGTCGAAAGAAGGAACCGAAGAGCGATTTACATATGTAAAAGGAGCAATCACAAATGGGAAGAAAGGGATAAGATGAACACTGTGAAATTGGTTTAATATTGCATACAGTTTTGGTCAAGGTAGGCTGAAGTCAACTATCGTTTTTTAGACTTTTTTGTCGTTTGAGTATACGTTGCCTTGGTTGTATCCCGCAGTTTATCATGATATGAAGTAAATGCCATTCACATCTCGATTTTCGTCTCCAAGATCCTGCTGCTACCAGCAAGTACCTACTTTCTAGAGCACTGGGTTATTAGACCTCACAGTAAGAAATCACGGTTTAGGCTAATTCGAAATTACTTCCTTAGCTCCCTTTACAAATTCATAATTCGAGCAATACTGACAGTGGGTAGCCCATTGGGACTGGAGCCACTGCACAATATTCATTCACTCATAAAGTTTGAAAGCTTTAAATTTTAAATAATCATGAAAACTTTAATTGGTATTAGATTTTTACTATTATTGGTGCACAAACGAAAGAGACGAAGTATAAATAATGAAATTCCAGATTTAACACTCA